AATTTAGCCGTCTGTGACGTGAGCTTATTGGCAGTGAAATAATGTTCCAGTCGTGCAAACCAAAGATGGGGGTCTCTGGGCTTAAAAACTGGTACAGTAAGAGAAATAGTACTAACAGATCCCAGCTCTAAGTTATTAGAGGTATTGGAAGACATGTTACAATTCAAAGAAAAATGGTTTAAGAGTAACAAAATAGAAAAAACTATGCACACTAAGGATATGGCAAAACAGAAAAACATGCAATGCAGATGCTTACCACAGATTACTGCAAGTTGTGCGATGAGAAAGCACAAGAATGAGTTCGAAATATCAATTATATGGATATTTGTATATATAGATCCGACAAAGTTAGAGTTTAAATAATCCAGCAAGTGTAATGATGCGGCGTGGGGAACAAGTTATCGTCGAGGAAACCGAATTGTCGTCGTTGTCGAAATTTGTCGTCGGGGTCAACAATTTGTTGCGTACGTTATTTGACTAAACTGCTGTACACATATATTCTAGTATTTCTTCGTTCTTATTAATGTGCGCAGACGTTGTGGCTACTCGACGCCCACAACGTAAATCAAAAGGCACTTGCGAAGAGTACGAATGTGTATTATAGCAGTAGTCAAATTCGAAATTGTGTCAAGGTAATGTTCAACAGTAAATTGACAAATATTTGCGAAGTACATATAAAATCGGTCTGTATACACATATAATACAAGTATACAAATTAGATTAAAAAGCATGTTTACAGTTGGTATAGAGGTACTACAACATGTTCCAAATGGCTGTTAAATCGTATCGAAATCACAACTCGATTAGTCTGAATAGAAATCCAGCATCATCCATTGCAAAACACTTGTAATTGTCAAGTCACAAAATCAATATTAATGACTGTTTCACAATTATTTCACATAACTCTAATTCAAGGTTATTGAAGGTGGTGTGTTATAACTGTAGGGAGTTCAATGAAGACGTTTTCACCTTGCTCTGTCTGCGCCTGAACTAATCTGCCTATCTGCTTGTCGTACCTTCCGATTTAGTAAAGCACGCAAATATCAAAAGACAAAGGCTGGACTGTGACTGTGTATTGAAGTGCAACAACGACAAAGAAAGCCATGGTATTTATACATTTTACAACAATATGGACAGCTAACAGCATTTGAAATAATTTATCTTAATAGCCAATAACAAAGTGCGTGAGAGATGATAATATACCATATGTGCGAGATTTGACAGTCAATAACAAAATGTGTGGGAATGATAATATACCATATATGCAAGATTACAGTCACAAAAGTCATGTGAATGATAATATACCAATATACAAGATTAACAGTCACTACCAAAATGTGTGAGAATGATAACATACCATATATGCAAGATTAAACAGTCAATACCAAAATATGTGGGATCCTATCACCTCTCCCCGTAAAGAGTGTAGGACTTGCTTTTTGGATCTATTTGAAAAGGTTTCGGAGCTCTTCTTTGTCGAGTTGACCTTTGCGTGGTACTGGATAGAGCGTGATCTGTGTGTCTGACACATAACTGTCCTTTTTCATTCGTACGATAATGCAGCAAGAATTTATCCAAAATTTCTTCTGTTGTTCCCTCCCCCTTCGCTTTTGCATAAGCACGCTTAAAGGTGTCGACGAAACGTTCAGTCTGTCCATTCGATTGGGGATGATACGGGGGGCTACGAATATGCTGGATGCCAAACAGTTTGCAGCAACCAAGTTTGTCCTGGAAGACAGAAGCGTGCTTTTGACGACGGCGTTGCAAGAGAGATTGATCAGATACATCTCCGGGAACAACGTTGTGTGGTGAAGACGAAACATTAGAGCATACTGAATTTAATGGTACATCGAAGATATGGAGCTTGTCTAACCAGTCAAGACCAAGCAAATTCAAATCATGGTAGTTTGTAACGTAACATACACCATTGAAGTGATGCTCACCAAACTGAACCTGGCAATTTATCTCACCCACAAGTTTCAGTATATCTCCAGAGACATTCTTGGCGACATGCTCGGTCGGCAGAATCTGTGGGCAACCAAGTTTGCGCCACGTAGTTCGGGAAATTACGGTGATATCTGATGCCGTATCCAACTGAAGACGAATACGTTTGCCGTTAATATCTAGTGTTATGTACTTACGTTTGCTGGCGAACTCGACTTTGGAAGTAGTGAAAACGGTCTGTACTCGAGGAGATTGTTTCGGCTTGAAACGACTACTTCTGTTCCTCACCGAAGAATTTTTCTGCGGTGTACAGTAACCCTCCTTATGTCCAAAACGGTGACAATTACGGCATTTATGTTTCTTGAAAGGACAGAACTTGACAAAATGCCACGAACCACAGTGCCAGCACACTGAAGGAGGTTTAGCTGAATTTTGAGACTGACGTTCTGTGTGCTTAACGGTGATCGGAGGACTTTTCACTGTGTTAATCGAACCAAATTCAGACGACTGTCGTTTGCACTCCACCATAGCAGTATCGTGCTTCAAGTTGATTAAACGTAGGCATTCTGCTGTCACCATTTGTAAAGTCATTTTCGGGTCTTGTTCCACAAGTGACAGAAGTCGAGTTCGTATGTCAGTATCTTCTGGGTTCTTCAACCCACAAATAAAAATCAAACACTTGAACTGATCTGATGTCATTTCGTGTGGTTTGAACCTTTCACATTCCTTGTTCACTTTGCCAGCGTAAGTGACATAATCATCGGAAGGCATTTTTGTCAACTGAAAACATTGATACCGAATATTAAACATGGATGACTGTTCACCAAAGATTTGTGATAAAACGGTGACTGTCTCATCGAATGATAACTCACGTGGGTTCTTAGGCAGAATGAAGTTAACATATCTGTTGTGCTCAACAGTACCAAGTTTTCTTAGTAACAATCGGACTTTGGCAGCATCATCAAACATGTAGCATTCAATACGGAAAACGTCTTCGTAACGATTGAACCATGCATCAAATACGAGACCAGATATTGGGTCGTAGTTGAACTCACTGATAGAATTTGAGATGCTTTCATATTTGTCAGAATGAGATGTTGATGGAACTTGAATGGACAGCTTCTGAGTGAGAGCTTCGATTAATTTTAGTTGAGCTGCTTCATTCTGAACTTGCTGCTGCTGCAAGATAGATTTGAGATCGTCCAGAGAGATAGACATTGTAATTGGGTTGTAATTAACACAGTCAAAAATGTAATATAGCTGCGCTGAACAGAATAAAAACTGTCGTCGTTTGCTTGTTATAGCTGCAATGAGTTAAAGTAAACCCCGTCGCCAATTTGTTATAACTGTAGGGAGTTCAATGAAGACGTTTTCACCTTGCTCTGTCTGCGCCTGAACTAATCTGCCTATCTGCTTGTCGTACCTTCCGATTTAGTAAAGCACGCAAATATCAAAAGACAAAGGCTGGACTGTGACTGTGTATTGAAGTGCAACAACGACAAAGAAAGCCATGGTATTTATACATTTTACAACAATATGGACAGCTAACAGCATTTGAAATAATTTATCTTAATAGCCAATAACAAAGTGCGTGAGAGATGATAATATACCATATGTGCGAGATTGACAGTCAATAACAAAATGTGTGGGAATGATAATATACCATATATGCAAGATTAACAGTCACTACCAAAATGTGTGAGAATGATAATATACCACATATACAAGATTAACAGTCACTACCAAAATGTGTGAGAATGATAATATACCATATATACAAGATTAACAGTCACTACCAAAATGTGTGAGAATGATAACATACCATATATGCAAGATTAAACAGTCAATACCAAAATATGTGGGATCCTATCATGGTGGAAGCACTTTGGATTAATCACATACAGCCTAAACCGTGTGTACAAAAATCAATAGACTTCAATCTTCGCCTACCCTGGACTGCATGACCTATCTTAATATGATTGGTCATTAGTATGTACTTTCGTCTTTTATTTAACTGAGTAATTGTCATGAACTTTATTTTATCATTGTTAACCATGTTAGTTGTAAAGCGGTTGTAAAGAAACTACAAAATGATATCATCTTTCGAAATTTGTCTTCTTAATGCCTTATTCAAACTCCAGTGTACGTCAGCAATTCACCATTAGAATGCTCGCCAACTACGCCTCAAGTGCTCCAGGATTCACTCTCCATCCAACGCACTCCTGAGCGTCATTTAATTGTAAGTAAGCTAAGTAAAGAGGGAAGGTTGAGCATGAGACTAGCAAAACTACCCCATAAAAAAACACCATTTCTATTCAAACTTCAAAGCTCATGTTTGAAGCCTTATATTCCATTCGGAAGTCAGGGAAATTAAATAAAACATAAATAATAACAGCTCACAGTAATGTGGATAACTTGCCTTATTAAAACTATAGCTGAATATATATGTATGGGAGGGATAATATCCTCCTTCTAATGGTATCCCATAAAGTGTTGCACATGACGTTGATAGATAAAAACCCCAGCGAAATTTAGTAGTCGTCAAATTTTAGCCTAGTTTCTTTCAAAACAAATTAACTGAACTTCTGACTTCGTTTTTCTGAATAACATTTTAAGTAGTAGAGATAATGACTATAATAATAATAGTTTAGAGTCTGAGGGTGTTGACGTTCACGAATAGTACGAAGTATATTAAAGCAAGATCTAATACCAACAACTTCTATAGTATTCGTTCCGCGTAGACCAAAGGCAAAGCAAAACAAAAGAATTGATCATCCAGATTACGAATCAAATTTCGGGAGCAAATCGGAGTGCGAGATGATTGCTTAACTAGCTGGTGATCGTGTACGAACGAACCTAACACGACAGCGTGCCAAATGACCGGAAACCTTCAGCTAAACAAGTTGACTTAGACAGTGAGGGTCAGGATGCAATGTTCAGTGATGAATGCTGTGGCTACAATAATAACACATATAAAGTAGGTTAAAAACAAATTATATTAATAGAGAGAGAGAGAGTTTACAGGTAACTGATTCATTTCCTTCACATGATCTCGATCAGAAATCGCTGAGGTCTTCGTCTTTGCTGTTGCTACTGCCATTATCAACACCTTCATCACCATCGTCATTATCATCATCATCCGTTTTAGAGTTGCTGTTCCACGGTTTATTATCATCAAGCCGGGGGTAGTCATCAGAATCACCTTTGTATCCTTCACCATCATAACCAGAATAATCATCACCTTTTTGCCTTTTATATGGTTCGTACTTTTCATAATCCGCGCCATGTCCTCCATATTCATCAGGATGGTGCTCATAATTATTAGGTTTATATGATTTACCACTTCTGGTATAAGGAACATCATGGCCGTAATCATCATTATTTCCGTAATTGTAATCACCAGCATAATTATCCTTACCATGGTAGTTGTCACCATAGTTATCATGTGAATCATATTTATCTCCATGACTTTGTACATCACCATAACCATCATACGTTGAATGCTTATCAGAACTTCTCGAATCGTCATAGTCAGAGTAGTCACTTCGATGTGCAGTACAATAAACACTTATCAACAGAAGGTGAACTGTTGTTAAAGTGAGTAGATTCATTTTTCTGTCATATAGTGATGATGGTAGTAATAATAATAATAATTCCCACAAGAAATTCGACTTAAAAACATCATCATCTAACATATATAACTTTCAGAGACAGACAGAGAGAGAGAGGGAGGGAGAAGGCGATTAAGTTCATCTTCACTTTTTTATCCGAGTGCATTTTTAACTATTATTATCATCACCATCATCTCGTTGTACTGAGTACATATTTTTTTTCATTGTATAACACTAAATACTCAGCTAATTCATTGATTTGTAGCATAAACTATTGAGGAATACTCGCATCTCGTGATATTTCTTCACCGTCTAACACAAACAGCAAGTGCAAATGGATAAACAGTCATGTAATCAAATAAATTATAATTAAACAGTTCAATAGTTTAAACACAATGATAAGTTTTTTTTGGCTTTGGTAATATGTCAAGCAAAATTACTGCCCCGTGATCATACCAATTGTTGGTATTTTGCTCGAAATATTACCAAAGCAAAAAAAAAAACTTGCCATTGTGTACAAACTATTGAGATATATTATTATTATTCCCTTAGGTTGTGAGTGGAACGTCGGCCTTCAGCAACACATCTCCATTGGAACATTAGATTGAAAAGAACAAGAAGTTCAGGAAAGATGGCGATCTGTTCGGCGATTTCATTCTCAAAAACACCTGTACAATCGCATTTATATAGATTAGTTTACATGGATACAATTATTATTTGCTTAATTCCACATAGTGACGAAGGTGATAATAATTTTCAACTTGGTATGAAAGTATGAATTAATATCAGTAAAAAGTTTGAGCATTGTGGATTAGATCAAATAAAGTATAATTATATTTTTATAGTTTACACACAATGATAAGTTTTGTCATTGGTAATATTTCAAGCAAAATTGCTGCCCTTGTTCACACCACTGTTGGAATTGTTTTATTCCAGTAAATAAAACAATTCCAACAGTGGTGTGAACACGGGCAGTAATTTTGCCTGAAATATTACCAATAACAAAACTTATCATTGTGTGTAAACTATAAAAATACAATTATACTTTATTTGAAAGTATAAAGGTACGAATTTAGATTACAAGGGGCTTAGAGACAAGATTGTATAGGATTAGAAACACAGTTACAACGTATGCAAAATTAATATTTGATAATTGGAGAAATAATTTTGAAGGCGAATAAAAGGTGATAATTATTTTCAACGTGAAATGAATTACAAGAGGCTTAGAGACGCAGGGATAGAACGAATTACAGGTGTGAACAAAATGAGCATGGAAACGAATCGAAATCAAAATTTTCAACGTGGAATGTAAGTTAGGAGGTGAGAATATAGACAGATTACAAGAGGCATAGGAACAAAAAATGTACACAGGATTAGAATATAATTGTAAAATTGTTATTCTAAACGGATTACAAGTGTGATCAGGAGGAGCATGGAAACAAACTTAAAATAACTGATTTTATAACTGAAAAATTAGGATGAATTGAATGAAGACACAGAGAAAAAATTACACACACAGATAACAAAGCAAAAAAAACTGAAGGATAAAGGAACATACCGAACTAGGTGCATGGTAGTTGTAAAGGCTGGACTAGTTTGTTTTGAACACATAGCTCCGGCTTTTCGATGGATTTCATTCTCAAAAGCTGTACAATTGCATTTATATACATGGATGCAACATCTCCATTTCGTCCTATTTTCTGCTATCTTCCCCAGCTAGGTCCACGATTGACAACCTCCTCTTCGTACGATCTCCTCCATGTCACCATAAATCGACCCACTCGTTGCTTCCTTTCTGGATTCCACTGGAGGGCCTGGTACGTGATAGATATAATTATAATTTATTTGATCTACTTCACAACGCCCAAACTTTTTACTGACATTAAGTTATGTAATCAATTAGAAAATTCCAATAATTTATTCAGAACAAGAGTAATTGGAGCGTAATGCTTCTCAAACTTGTTATTATATTTAAACAGTCCTATTCATTCAACTTCACTAAATTCATTATTACCTGATAATCATTCACTTATAGTATTTTTAAGTTTAAACAATATCATCGTTATTATTTCGCAATCATTATTGTTGTTATTTGTCACTCTTGAACTTGCGTCTAGTCTATCCTATTCGTTGGTTTGTAGTGGTAGGTAATTCCCCCGGAATTATTAGCCACAACATTCATCACTGAACATTGGATGCTGACTCTCACAGCTTTAGTCGATTTCTTAAGGCTTCTGGTCAAACATCCACGCCATTTGGCACGCTATGGTGTTACGTTCGTTCGTTCATTCGTTCGTGCACGACCCCTAGCCAGTTAAGCAATCATCTTGCACTCTTATTTCGTCTCGAAATATAATTCGTAATTTGGACGATCAATTCCGTTGTTTTGATTTGCCTTTGGTCTACGCGGAACGAATACTATAGGAGTTGTGAGTATTGGATTTTGCGTCAGTAAATTTTCTACTACCCGTGAACGTCAATACCCTCAGCTTCTAAAGGTTTGTTCCTCAGTAGTATTCATACTGTTTCACATACCACTGACTACACTCACCCTTGAAACCTGTACTTATATATATATATATATATATATATATATATATATATATATAATGCGACAGACAACGGCAACCAACGAGGGAACAGGCATAAAATGGACTGACACAAAAGACTTGGAGGATCTGGATTTCGCCGATGATATATGTCTGATTTCCCATAAACTGGAAGATATGCAAGTGAAAAGTAACAAGTTGGCAGAAGAAGCATCAAAGATAGGACTTCACGTGAACATAGATAAAACAGAGATAATGAAGATTCCTAGCCAACAGCAACAACACCAACAGACCACAATAAGCATAAATGGGAAGAACCTGAAAGAAACAACCTCCTTCACCTACCTGGGAAGCATCGTCTCAACTACAGGCGGAACTGACGAGGACATCAAAGCCAGAATCGGAAAAGCAAGACAAGCTTTCATTACTCCCAAATCTGTGTGGAGGTCAACAGCAATCAGCATCAAAAATAAGATCCGGATTTTCAACTCCAATGTGAAGTCAGTGCTACTATACGGATCAGAGACTTGGCGAGTCATAAAGAGCATCTCAAACAAACTTCAAACCTTCATTAACAACTGTCTCCGCTCAATACTCAAGATCAGATGGCCAGAAAAGATCAGCAACAGGGATCTCTGGGAGCGAACCAATCAGGAACCGATTGTGAAACAAATAGGCAGAAAGAAATGGAGATGGATTGGCCATACGCTGAGGAAACCATCAAGTGACATCACTAGACAAGCTATCGCTCGAGTGGAACCCGAAAGGGAGGCGGCGAGTTGGTCGTCAGTGCAAGGGTGACTTGGAGGAGGTCATGCGAGGAGGAGATGAAAGCATGTGGACAGACCTGGAGCAGGGTGAAAAAGTTGTCAGAAAACCGAAGTCAATGGAGGTGCGCAGCTGAAGCCCTATGTTCCTCTAGGAACTAAAGGATACAATAATAATATATATATATATATAAATAATATATTATAAATCTTGACTAAGAGTATTCTTTTCAATAATTTCTCATCAGGTTCTTAAAATTATAAAACATAATATTTGTTATCGTTAGAATGATAAATTCTTAGTGTTGATCTATCCCGATAAATCAATTGGCATCGTCCCGAGGAGTCGCCCGGAATACGTCGATAAACTGATATCCACTATATATATCAGACGAAAACAAATTTTCAAAGGAAACCAACCAGAAGAAGTAAACTGGGCGAAATGAAGAAAATGAAGCACAAATCGATAATTAACTCTAGATTATTTCAACAACTACAACCATGTGGTTCTGTAATTTCCCAGTTATATAGTCACGTGAAACTGCACATACAGAACGTACCACTACGACCAGTCTTGCACTTGACAAATTCACCACATTATGCGATTGCTGAATGACTCACAGACGTCCTTCCATCTGTCAGAAATAATCTCAGTCATCATAGTGTTTCAAATTCATTTGAATTCGTCGATTCACTAAGTGATGTTAATGCATCCTGTAGGAAAATGATAACTCTGGATGTTAATTCTGTCTTCACTAATGTTCGTCTCACTCAAACTATTTGCTTTATATGCAAATTCATCCAGGGTAATAATCTGGATGTGGGTATTGCGACCATCTACTTAAAGGAACTACTATTAAGATGCACTTTTAATGTCCAGTTCAAGTTCGACAACACGTTCTATAGACAAAGTGATGGAGTGTCAACGGGGTCTCCATTGGGACCCTTACTTGCAGACTGCTTCTTGGCAAGTTTAGAGAATAATATGTCATGGCCCACTATCAGTAGTTTTCATATGTGCCGAGAACACATGGATGAGACTTTTAGCATATGTGACAAGAATACTAACATCGAAATGACAACAAAAGAGCTCAACAACTGCAAACATGCCATCCAGTTCACATCGGAACCAGAAATGAACTCGGAATTCCATATTTTGGATGTTTTGCTAAGCAGGAGACTTGAAGGTTCTCTACAGAGATCAACATACTGGAAACCGACATGGAATGGTCACTAGACGAATTTTCATATTCTGATCATTTTGAGAAGAAAGAAAAACCTAATCCACTCTTTATCTTTATGAATAAGAAGGATATGCATCAGTGATACAATTGATGATGGACTTGAGTTACTCAGATAAATCTTCATGGAGAATGGATATCCTTCAAGATTTATCGACAAAAATATGGGAGTAAAGCAAAAGTCTGAAAGAATCCAAACTGTGGGGGAGAAACTGTTGTTTTTGGATGTTGAATTTGGAGGTGACACAGCTTCTGAGATTCTGAAGAACCGCTTATCCAGATCAGTGAGGAAAACCTTCTTTTCGACTGAGCTACAAAAATGATCAATGGATGTTTGAAGGATAAACTGCCATTGTGGGCCACTTCAATGTGTATTTGTAAATTATTCACTTGTTCCTGTGGAGTTAGTTATACTGGCTTCATAAAGTGCACACTTTCCAAAT